TTTTTATTTCAGTTTTTGTATTCGATTGTGTTGATGTTCTTGGTTAATAATTGTAATATGATAAATTTTTTGTTGATTTGTTGTTTGACGAGAAAAAGTATAGTGCATGTCTTTTTAATTTTTGTTTTTTTCTGATTTGTTGTTCTTGATTTTTGCTGATTTGTTGTTGATTTCTTGCTAATTTTTATTGCTTTCTTACTGATTTGTTCTTGCTGTTTTGGTTGTTTTTCCTGAGATGTTGCTAATTTGTTGTTCTTGCTAATTTGGTTGTTCTTGAGTTGTCTTTTTAATTGTTTTATTTTGTTATATTTTTTTGCAGCAGTTATGGACACCCATCAACCCCTTGTACAACAGCTTTCTTCTGGGAATATGAGAAGATTCAGGAGATTGTAACTTTAAATACATTTGTTTCTTTTTAATTATGGTTTGTAATTTGTTAAGACTTTATTTTGGTATGTAATAGTTAATTAGGCATTTAGACTTCTTATACTTTATTTGGTTTTTATTGAAAATTTAAGTTTGAAAATTAAGTTTGAAGACATTAGGTAAAAAAAAATCAGGTTTTATTAACGGTTAAGTAGTCAATCAGGCTAAAAAATCAGGTTATTCAAGTAAAAAATAAATAAATAAAAAATCATGTCAAATCAGGTCGTTTTCAGGTTGACCCGAACCTGAAAATATCAGGTTCAGGTTGGGGTTTTCAACCCAAAAACTTAAATGGATCAGGTTCAGGTTGGGGGTTAGCTGACCCGAAACCCGAAAACCCGAACACGAACCCGACCTGACCTGATCCGTTTGCCACCCCTATGAACAACAATATAAATCAAAAATTATATGAACAACAATATAAATCAGAACTAAAAATCAAAAAAAAAATTCACATGCAAAATACCTTTTCCCGTCAAACAACAAATCAACAACAGATGGTCTTACAGATCTACCCTTTAGGCATATTTTAGGCATATTAAGACTATTATCAAGCAAGAACAACAACAGAAATCAAATACAAAAATTATATTAAAAAAAATAACGAAACGAAAAAAAAACAATTAACAGAAAATTACCTTTGAGCTTTGACGACTTGAAGGAGAGGAAGATTTGAAGATGGAGAACTAGAGATCAAAAGCAAAAATCGAGAATGGAGAACTTCGGAACTTGAGATCGAAAAAAACAGAAATGAAAACAAAAAAAGATTAACAAAAAATTACCTTTGAGCTTGAGAGTATGAGACGTTGAGCAGCTAATGAGCTTGAGAGTTCAGATGAGATGAGAATGGAGAATTCATAGAAGCTCAGAACTTCAGAAGACAGAAGCAGAGAAGTGAGAGAACAAAAGATTTGAGGAGAGAGAAAATGTGAAAAGATGAAAATGATAGGAAACGGCTAATTAGGTTTTTAGGGTTTTAAGTTTTCCCTCAGCTTTCTATTTGGGCTTGGGCCAAGTAATTTTTTTTTTTAAAAAAGATTTTTTTCGGGTTATAAGGTCGGGTTCGGGTTGACCCGACCTGATTTTGACCCGAATAATTTTTTGGGTTACGTGGGTCATTCTCGGGTTGAAATTTTCAATCTTAACCTAACCCATTTAATTTTGGGGCAGGTTCATGTCAACCCATTTAAGTTTTTGTGTCAAAATCCTCAACCCTAACCCGCTATTTTCGGGTCAGGTTCGGGTCGGGTTTTCGGATTGGGTCAGTTTTTGCCACCCCTATTTAGAAGTATGCTAGGCTTTGATAAATTAATTCCAAGTAGTATCATGATTGATGATGATTGGAATTTGTTGATTGGATTGATGTTGGTGAATAATTTGTGTTGTATGAATTATTTATGGTGAATCGGTGATTGAAATTAATTATATTGGCATGTTGTTTGTGTACTACACTTTTATTATTGGCATGTTAGAGAGCATGTTTTATTACACTATATATTTAATTTGGTTTGGAATATTGAAAAGGAATTTTATTGTGGTTCATATTATTTTTATTGATGCTTTAAGCATGGGAATTGAGTTATTCAAGTGTCTTAGTACACAAGAATAAATTATATTGTGGTGCCTATGCGCACATAAGGTGTTTCTAACATCGAGAGATAGGATTTGTGGTGCTTTATGCGCTTAAGGTGTTATTTAAAACCGAGGTAGTTTAAAAAGGGTTCAACATTACATTTATGTGGTCACTAATTATTCAAGAATTAAATTGGATGTTTGATTGCTTGAATGAGTTATATAATGTTTGATTGTGATATGGTTTGAGAGTCATCACTAAGTCTAATAATGTGTAAATAACGTAAAGTGAAAGAGATTACGCACCAAAACTCTTGGAACGCATATACCTTGAGTATGAACATATGTGGGGAGTTATGGGGTTTTATATTTAACCATAACTTCTACTGGGAGTACAAGATACTGTATTTTCCTTTTTTTTTATTCTATGCGCAGAACGTTCAGTCACTTCATGTGACATTTGCCTACCCGATTAGCTCCCAGTGTAGTTTACCTCAATTTATTTGGGGCAGGGATTTGGTGGGAAACTCGTTCGATGCGTAATCAAATAAAATAAGCAATTCATTTATTTATTGGTTAGTCGTTTTGTATGTTGTATGCTTGTAACAGGTGCAACTCAGTAAGTTGTGTGATGATAGGGTGAAAGCATGTTAGTGTGTTTTTATTACGCTTATGTACTAAACATTGCTGATTATGTGTTGTATGTTTGTTTGGCCTTGTCTTTACCTTGGCCCTACGACGACCCATTTCTAATGGCAAGTAGTGGGGACAAGTAGAGAGAAGCTTTTCAGGTGATGAAACATTTTCATGAGAGGCATGAGTAAAGAGCGAATCACGCTTAGTTCTCATAGGAATATGATGTGTTTAATTGCTTTGAATATTATTTATTTTAATACGCTCATGAGACTAACACAAAGGTTTTAATATTGTTTGGTTTTAAGGGCCTACAATGGCTCCAAGTTGTAGGTTGACTTAGTTTGACTTTTACTTTCGTTTGGTTTGACTTTTAAGTTGACTTGTTTTTAAATGGTTTTCAAAGATAGTCTTCCACTGTGTATCTTTGATAACTGCCTTAGCTGTTTTCACGGTGGCGGTTGATTAGGGGGATTTTCCCTTAATCACCTCTCGCCATGTGGACCAATCAGGCCCTGACAAGTGTCACCCAGTTGGACTTATCGGGACCTGCCACGTGGCGCGCTTCAGCTGGTCCACCATGGACCTCCTATGCTATGCCATGTGGCTCTTTCAGCCTTGCCTAAACAAGTAACAGATTGGGCTTAAATCCCAAGAAAGCCCAGTCAGTCCTAGGGTTGGCCAAAAACCCTAGAACCTGGCACGCTTTCCAAGGCTATAAATACGGTCATAAATGCTCATTTATGACAAAGACTGTTCACAAGAAACACACGGATTGCACAAATCCCAAGACAATCACACACCACTCGGTACCGCCTGCTAGACCCGTCCTAGCATCCGGCACCTATTTACATTCCGCATTATAACTCCTTCATTCACTAACTTGATCGTTGGAGGCGGAGCTCCCTACCCAAGGAGTCTCCGTTATCTTGCAGGTACAGGCGCGTGGTTCCAGCCTCAAAGTTGTAACTCTCCCAAGGGACACAGAAAACCCCGAAACATTTTGGCGCCGTCTGTGGGGAGAGTACCTTTGAGATGGCGTCACAATCTGTACCGAATAATAGTGACAAGCGTCCCGAGGACGACTACCAAGAAGACGAGCCTCATGTTTCTTCTGATCAGGACACTGAGCCTGAAGTTGAGACTCGCACGGCCCCAGACGGGTCCTTGAGGGCTCGATGCACTACCCCTCGTGAAAGGCAGGAACGGCAAGACCAGGCTGGTCCAGGCCAAACAGTCGGACCTTCGGCCGACTCTCATCAAGCGGTCGATTGGACAACTCCTGTCTCAAGGAATGATCTTATGACCATCATGAGAAGTTTCAAGGGTGAGATTAAAGATCTCATCAACAAAAAGGCGGCTGTCTCCCAAAAAGGGCAGTCGAGCAAAAAGCCTTCCTATTTTGGAAAGAAGAAGTCATTAAAGGACCGTGAGGCAACCCCCCACCCTCGCCAAGAGGAGAGGCGAGTACCTCTGGTCAATTTGTCCAAGCACCGTATCCCTGCCTCATTGGGAAGGAAACCAATCCGCCTGGTTCAACCAGACGATTCAAAGAAATCCTACTTAGACACCCGGCTGCTGATTCAGCAGAAAAGGAGCCAACAACAGTCTGAGTCGGCCTCCACTTTTGATTTTCTTGACAGTATACAAAACGCTTCTATGAATCATTCAAGGTCAAACTATGAGATCCGGACAGGCAGTACACACTCCGGTTCTAGCTCTCATCAACAACAGTCGGCACCATATGTCACTCAGCCGCCATATGTGCCGCAAACTCACTACTTTTTGCCGCCTTCTCCTTTTGGAGGTCAGATGGCTAAGAATGTCCAGCCTTTGGACTGGCAATTACGGTTGCTCCAACTAGGAGAATAGCCAACCGCCTTCTCCAAGGAAATTTTACAAGCCGCCCAGCCGGCTAAAGTGAAAAATGTGTTAATAAGCGCCTATGATGGCACCACTAACCCAGAGGATCACCTAATGGCATTCACCAATCTAATGTACCTACAAGGATTGGACGATGCCACATGGTGTAGGTGTTTTCCTGCCACTCTGAAGGGAGTCGCCCAACATTGGTTCGGCAACCTACCAGCCAGCTGTGTTAACAACTTCAGAACATTGGCTTATTTGTTTGCATCAAACTTTTCCATGAACATACCTGCCAGGAAGATGACTCTTGATTTAGGAGTCGTCCAGCAGGGAGAAAAGGAGGGATTACGCTCCTACATAAAGAGATTCAATCTGATGAGGATACAAATACCCAACCTGCCGGATGAAGTATCCTATACTGATTTCTTCAAGGGATTGAAGGACGGTCGAACTTCAAATTCGATTTAGTCAGAAAAAGAGTGGCTACTCTCCAAGAGGCAATGATGGAGGCCGAGAACTACATACAGGCAGTCGACCTCTATCACATGGGAAAGCAAGGGGACCAGAAAAGGTCCGAGAAAAAGGAGGGTCGTTCACAGAAAGCGGCCCCCAAGGAAGAGAAAAAGAGAAAAGATGTTTGGATGGCCGACTCTGCTAGTCAGCCGCCCAGTAAGAAGAGAAAAGAATTCACTCCACACTCCCCCAAGTATGAGTTCAACAGAGATAATCATACCATTTTCAAAGTAGTTAAGAGCCGACTCTCACTTGAGAAGCCGACACCTATGAAGGGTGATCCTAGCAAGCGCAACCAAGGAAAGCATTGCCATTTTCATGATGACGTTGGGCATGAGACCAACGAATGCATTCGCCTCAAGCGTCTGCTAGATCAGTTAGCTGAAAAGGGTGATCTGGACTCTTATGTCAAGAAACCTAAAGGAAAACAACCCCCAAACAAAATCAGTCGGCCAGGCAAAAAAGACAGAAGCCGGCCGACAGCTCTGACACTGACGAAGCTGCCATCTATACAATAGCAGGCGGCTATGCAGGGGGAGGCCTGACTGTTCGGGGAAACAAGGATAACATCAGGCAATTGGATGTTAACTCTGTAAATCGGGGTGAGACCTCTGGTACCTTGTTTCTTGAGGTTGTTATTTCTGAGAAAGATTCTGGTGGCGTCCGACGGCCGCATGACGACCCGATTGTCATCGAGTGTAAAGTGGCCAACCAAAGAGTTGGCAGGATACTTATTGATACAGGGAGTTCGTCGGACCTCATCAGCCATAAGTGCTTGACCAAGCTCAAGTACAGGCCTGAGAATATGCAGCCTGTCTCCCATCCTCTCGTAGGATTTGGAGGGGGAGTCGTCCATTCGATTGGTCAAGTTGACTTGCCCGTCCGTCTAGGTGAGAGAGGCGAGGGCCGCCACATGGTCATTCGTTTCCTGGTGGTAGAAGAACTTACTGCCTACAACATGATACTTGGGCGCCCCACCCTTAATGACTCTAAAGCAGTTATCATTCCATCCCTTATGTTGCTTAAGTTTGAGAGGGACGACAAAACAGTCGGCTCCATAAGGGGGGACCAGAGAATGGCCAGAGAATGTTACCTCACTGACATCAAAACAACGGTAACTTCAGACGGCCCAACTCACAAAGCCATAGAAGACGCGTCTTCCCAAGAGGCAGGCGGCATGAAGAGAAAAGCCTTTGAGGCAGAGGTCCAGAAAAAGCATAAGCAATAGCAATCACTGGCTGAGGAGCGGTCGGATGAATTCTTCCCTCAGCCAGCTGGGGAGCACGTAGATGTCGCCCTCGATGACAGTCGGCCAGACCTAACTGATAAGGTGGGGACGACTGCTCTGACTGAACTTGGCAATGGTCTTCGCCAACTGCTGAAAGAGTTCCAAGATATTTTTGCATTTGAGGTGCATGAGATGCCAGGTATTAGTCCAGACCTGGCGGTACACAAGCTAGCTGTTGACCCAAAAAAGAAACTGGTACAACATAAGAAAAGGCATCATGGTGAAGAAAGAATCCAGGCGGCCGCCGCCGAGGTAAAGAAATTACTTGATGCGGGATACATTCGGCAGTGTTTCTACCCAGAATGGGTTGCAAATGTTGTGCTAGTCAAGAAGCCGAATGGTTCCTGGCGCATGTGTGTGGACTACACTGATTTAAACAAGGAATGTCCGAAAGACAACTATCCTTTGCCAAAGATCGACAGCTTGGTCGACTCAACAGCCGGCCATGCCTTGATGAGTTTCATGGACGCCTACTCAGGCTTTCACTAGATCCCTCTATGGAAAAAAGATCAAGAGAAAACTGCCTTTGTTACAGAGCAGGGACTCTATTGTTACACGGTCATGCCGTTTGGTCTGAAGAACGCCCCGAGAACCTTCTAAAGAATGATAAACACTGTGTTTTTTGAACAAATTGGAAGAAATGTGGAGGCGTATATTGATGACATGATTGTAAAATCAAAATTACAAACGGACCATCTGGAAGACCTCCGAGAAACATTCGCCACACTCAGGCGACACCGAGTCATGCTTAATCCAAAAAAGTGTGTCTTTGGAGTTGATTCTGGGAAGTTTCTCGGATTCCTCATAAATCAAAGGGGAATAGAGGAAAATCCTGACAAGGTGCAGGCGGTCATTGACATGCAGTCGCCTTGCACCGTCCGAGAGGTACAAAAGCTAACAGGCTGCCTCGCAGCCCTCGGAAGGTTTCTCAGTCGGGCAGGCGACAAGTGCCTCTACTTTTTCCAGGCAATCAGAAAGAAAGCAAAGTTTGACCGGATGCTAAGTCGGCCCTCCAAAAGCTGAAAGAACATCTGCATTCCCTGCCGAGACTCGTCAGTCCTTTGCCAAAAGAAGTGCTTTACATGTATCTCGCAGTATCATATCATGCTTTAAGTGCCGTCCTCTTAGCTGAAAGAGACGGCTGCCAACTCCCAGTCTATTTTTTCAGTCATGTCTTGAAGAATGCAGAGTTAAGGTACCCACTGGTGGAGAAATTTGGACTCGCCCTGTACATGGCAGTGAAGAAATTGAAGCCTTAATTCCTGGCACATCCGGTGGTTGTCTACACAGACCAGCCAATCAAACGGCCCCTGACGACCATGGAGTCGTCAGGACGGATGATAAAGTGGGCAATTGAGATCCAAAGCCTCGAGGTCACGTTCGAGCCCAGAAAAGCTGTGAAGGGGCAAGCCTTTGCAGACTTTATAGTTGAGATGACCCGGCCACCAGAATGTGAAAAAATTGACCAACTCTGGAAAGTTTATGTTGATGGGAGTTCCACAGCAAATGGTTGTGGGGCAGGTATTGTATGTCAGTCTCCAGAGGGTGACAGGTATGAATATGCTCTTCGTTTCAAGTTTCAAACGTCAAACAACGAAGTTGAGTATGAAGCCCTTTTGGCTGGTATCCGCATGTGCAAAGCAGCCGGGGCAAGAAAGATAGCCGCCTGTTCAGATTCACAACTCATAGTCAGCCAGTACAATGGGGATTATGAAGCTACTCATCCGGCTATGGTCAAGTACCTAGGGGCCGTGAAGTAGGCGACAAGCTCGCTCGAAGATTTCCAGTTAACTTAGGTCCCAAGGTCCGAGAATAACCAGGCGGACGCCTTGTCCAAACTGGCATCCTCAGCCTCATGCGACACCCCTAGAACTGTATTTTGGGAAGTAATGGAAAAACAGAGTATTGAGGAAAGAAACATTGCAGTCCTTGATAGAAGCTCAACATGGATGGACCCAATCAGGGCGTACCTAACAGACGGTACCTTACCGAATGATCATCATCAGGCGGCCTCACTAAAGAAGCGAGCGTCCAGTTTTGAAATGATAAAGGGGGAACTCTACAAGAGAGGGTACCTTCAATCCTTCTTGAAATGTGTTACCCTAGAAAAAGGGTGAGAGGTCTTAGAAGACCTACACTCTGGATATTGCGCCTCTCACATAGGCGGTAGGTCGCTTGCTCAAAGAGTGAGGCGGCAAGGATACTTCTGGCCGACTCTGGAGGCAGACCCATGGATCTGGTTAAAAAGTGTGACAAGTGCCAGAGGTTTGGAAAATTGATTCATCGTCCAGCTACAGATCTAACGGCTATCCACAGCCCAATACCATTTTCTAAGTGGGGCATGGATATTCTAGGACCCTATACGCCTGCATCAGGTGGCAGAAGGTACATCCTAGTAGCAGTCGACTACTTCACCAAATGGGTGGAGGCCGACGCAGTCAGGGGCATCAAGACCAAGGATGTAATCTCCTTCATTTGGAGGAATGTGATCACTAGTTTTAGGGTTCCTATGTCCATGGTTTTTGACAACGGTCCCTAGTTTGAGACGCCCGTTCTCAAAACTTGGCTGAGAGATCAAGGCATTACCTACTGCTTTGCATCAGTCGGACGGCCGCAAGCAAACGACTAGGTCGAAGCATTTAACAAAATCATCTCAGACGGTATAAAGAAGAAGATTGAGAAAGCAGGCGGCCTATGGGCAGACGAACTACCACATGTTCTCTAGGCCATAAGGACGACTGAAAAAGGAGCGACTGGAGAAACACCTTTCCTCCTAACATATGGGGCAGAAGCTGTCCTACCCATTGAGCACTATGATCAGACTCTCCGAGTTATGTTGTATAGTGAAGATGCAAATTGGGAAGCAATGCGCCTGGCATTGAATTCCCTCCCAGAACGTAGGGGCAATGCTACCCTACGCCATGAAATATACCGCCTGAGAAAGACTCGAATCTACAACAAAAGAGTACACAAGCGCCCACTCAAAGTAGGGGACTTTGTACTAAGGAAAACGGAATCAGTCGGCAGGGCCAACGAGTTGGGAAAGCTAAATCATAACTGGGAAGGACCCTACCGAATCTATGAGGAGGTCAGGGACGGAACCTACCACATGGAAACTCCAGAGGGCCGACCCCTACCTAGGACTTGGAATGTAGACAATCTGAAAAAATATTACTTTTGATGTAACTATTTGAAGTTTATTAATGAAAGTTCCAAGCTTACCTTCTTCTCATATGTTTCAAAAAAGGAGTACAATTCGTCTGTCCCAAGAAAGGTAGATAGCCTCCAACACCTATTTACTAAAGGGCACGCCTGTTTTCCCACCACACAGCTAATCAACCCAGGCACCAAGCCGCTTGATTACGCTTAATTTTTAAATAAATACGACCTGTCCCAATAAATAGCAGGCGTCCGACGACATGCCATTTGGATGAGATTCGTCGCAGAGAGTAGCTCCCATTTGGGTGGAATAATGCTCTATAAACTACTTACACGGCCCCTATACGACTGTCCCCGAGGACAACGTATCCGTTTTGAGACAAGGATAACTCAACAATTTTATAAGTGTCAGCAGTTGACATCTGCGTCGGATAGCCGCCTGTATTACTTGGGATAAATACAGGAGGTGCCCTCTGAGTTAATAGTCAACAAAAAATTGACGAATCAAGGGGGTTAGTCGGCCTTTGACGGCTGATACTTCTACTACTCATGATTAGGAGCAGCCACGATTAGTTAACACCACAGTTAAACCATAGTTGTTCTTCCATACTTGGTTCGGAATCCTAGAAGTTTGAGCAGTCCGCCTGGTCCTTGGCAAAAAGGCACTCAAACAAACATTCCCACTAAGAAATACTAAATGAATCTGAACAATCTAAAAGGACCTCTCGGTGTCCGACTGGATGTGATAACGACTAATACACCGATCTGAATTAATAGTCGTTCAAACAACAAGCATCCTGCTATGTTTCCTATAAGCATACCAAGGAACTTACGACAATCTATAAAACAACGACTAGCCGACTGTTCTCTAAGAACTAGGCGACCCCTGTGTCTTGAAATGCACTATAAGTTAACTAATTCAATCGGTACCTTACCACTGTGACTAAGTACATTTCACTCAAGACTGGTTATGTTTGCTACTGAGGTCCGACTGTTTATGACCGACTAGTTACTCTCTATTCAAGAAGTAACCTAGTCGTCCAGGGGCAAGGGCAGTCGACATCAAGATTCAACAAGTTAGCTAAAAAGTTTAACATGGATACGCCATACAAGCGGCTATTAAGTTGCGACATGCAAAATGTTTGGCAAATTCAACAAAAACAAAAATCAAAAGACAACTCAACAATCGCCAATTCATATCAGATTAAAGCCAGACAAGCTGGCAAGGTTAAGTTAAAACTAGACAAGCTTGCAAAATATTCAGAAGCCCCGGCCCCCTGCCCGGGTAAAGATACACGAATACACGGCACGCAGGCCGGATCAAGTTTGAATAAAGAAAAGCTTAAACAGTTGGAGGGACCTCGCCTTCAGCAGCCGCCTTCTCTTGCTGGAGAGGGGACACTTGATTGCTCTGAACAGTCTCCTGTTCAGGCGCCTTCTTTGAAGATTCCCCTTCAGCCCCAACAACCGCCACTTCCTCTTCAGAAGAAGAAGAAGACTCGGACTCCTCCTGGCCGTCGCCTCCACCCATGACCGCCTCGTCATGCTCTCGAGTGCAGGCGACAAACTGGCTTTCCCATGTTGAGTAGTCGGTGTCTGGGTAAAGGCGGTCCCAGGTCATTTTCATGATGGCGCTACAGTCTTCCATTATGTCAGCGACCAGGGCTTTCTTCTCCTCTTCAAACCTCGACTTATACTTTTGGGCGAGCTGCCTTTCCTGGTTGGCTAGGCGCTGCTTCAGGCGGGCATTACTGCTTTTCAGGCCCTTCGCCGCCTTCACA